GCTGAGTTAATCTTTGTCAGAATTCACATTCCTGGAAAAACAGATACTGCCAAAGAAAATATTGAATTCCTTCATGAGATGGCAGCCTTTCAAAGACAAGGGCTAATAAAGGGTTAAGGTACTGACTGGGGGTTTCCATGAAATTTATTATCCGTGTTTTCTTTTTGCTTAACCTTAGTCAAACCCCCAGAACGTCAATGGCGTACATCTGAACTTTAGATTTGCCCATGTGCTGGTGGTTGTCTGTACCTGAGACTTCTTGTGTGCACGTTTCGTGTTCATCTGGCCCACTGAAAGAAGAGACCTAAGCATGTATCTTCAAAAAAGCAGTGGTAGCTATTCTAGGCAGACAGAGCACATTCTTGTACCTCCAGCAGCAAAGCATGCAATTTCAAAGATGAGTAATGTTGCAGATGTATGTATATTCAGTTTTTCTTCATTGGCTAGCTTGAAATGGCTCCACATTAAACGGGCTGATTTTAGATAGCTTAACGTACAGGCACTTTGGGGTTTCATTCTCACACACACAAGTCGTGGCTTGTGCCTGGTGCAAGGAGGCTGTTCTCTTCTGACACCAGGCTCTTACAATCGGGTGTTCCTGGATCCATCGTCTACATGCCTCCTTGCTTTAGGACAGTTTTCCTAATATGCTGTCTAGAGCATATGTTCAGGCTAGAATAGAAGTTACTGTGTTTGATACAATAAGCTATTACATGTTACTTAACCAACTCTGGGTTTAGAAGGTCACACTAGACGGTTTTCTACTCTGTTAAAAGTTGTATGAGTGAAGGTGCTGCTCCGGGTGCGCTGGAACAGAAGAAACGTCAGCTTCCGAAAGCATTAGTTGGCGAGACCTTCACAAGTGGGAAATCAAATTGTCCCAAAAGACCTATGTGATGTAGTTTACCTGTCGTGGCACTGCTAGGTGTCTTATTTCCTGAGATTCCGACAATAATTTAGTCAAACAATTAAAAGGATGCGTTTATATCCTACTCCTTGCCTCATGAACTAAGAAGAGCTTACCAGATACTTTCTAGCAGAAAAACTAAAACGTTTGAATGACATACTGTTGCTTAATTTAGTTCTCTTTAAAGATTCCCTTTTCTTACAAAACAGAAAATAGGATTTATTCTGTTTACAGTGACATTCTTCTGTGCTTTTTCACTTTCAACAAAGGAGTTACAGATTTTCAAAATAGGCTGACTATATTCCTTTTCTTAAGCCACTGATAACTTTTCAAATGGTTCAGTTGTGCAATACATACTACATTAATCAGGATGCTATAAGTTAAATAGTTCTTAAAAATATAATTCTGTCAAGGACTGTAGGATTTTTAGCAGCGCTCAATATAAAATTGGTTGGGTTATCAGGAATATACTGGCTTGGAATTTTAAGGTGGCTAAGAAAAGATGGACATATCTCCATGGCATTCTCAGTGGTAAGATTTAAAAAAGCTTGCCAGTTAATTTTTAGTGAACTCATGAGTGCTTTAAGTGTTGTTTTGATAACAACAACACTTATAATTAGCAAATTATAACTATTTTAAGGGGTTTACGTTTTAAATTTAAATCAACGAATTGAACGGCAGGGCATGTGATGGATGTGACGTGATGGAAGGAATATTGGTTTCTTTCCTGCCTGTTTTAAGCAAAGATCCACATGGCTAAATTCAAAATTTATTTGCTTCCTTTTTGTACCCACATATATTTTTGTGGGTTTTATTTTTAACCCTTTGTTGTGTTACAAAGATGGGGAAATTTGTTATAAGTAATACAGCAGGACTAACTCTTGTTCTAGCTGGGTGTCTATTCATTCTTCACCCTTCAGCACCATTAAGTTCAGTTAATCACTGAGCAACAGGATCAAAAATTCCAACTGAGGGGAATTTTATACTTTGGTCAACCCAAGACCACGCACAACTTAGGAACAATCATACTGAAGAAAGTATTGGAAAGACCAAAGACTGCTAACTTGGTTAGTCTCCTCTGTATAAGATAAAGACAGGAGTCTTCTCCTTACTATGTCTTTGCGGAAGTAAATTTGATTCTTTCTGCATTGGAGTATTTGAAGATGTTTGTATTACAAGTCAAAAACACATAGGGCATTCTGTATGAAAATGGTGTACTGTTGTGACAGGCTGAAACAGGGTGCGCACATGTATAAAAGTAGTAATAAAGAGTATTCCTTCCTGTGCTTGTGCCAATAGGTTAGGAGCAAGGTTACCACCTCTTGGCTGCTTCATCTAGAATAGTGTGTGTGGGGTGTGTGTCCATAATCAGGAGAAAAAAGACCTTTCTACATTTTAGATTACCAAAACACAGCAAGAAAAAAAATGCTGCAGATGTGCATACTATAGATTTGAGTATAGTGTAATCAGAAACTTGTAGAAACCAGTCCTTGCGTGGAAAAGCACATGAATCTTGCCTTCTTGCCTACTTTCCTTCTGCTAAATTAAAAACTAAAAGTTTTCTGTAGGAGAGCATGGAAAACACGTTCAGTGACTTTACTTACGTTACTAGTGAATAAGGATTTGTTACAGTATCTAACAGTCTGTAAATTTAGTAGAGAGTAACGCCTCTTAGGAAGTAAAACATTGATTCCTTTGTATCACAATTAATTTCCATTTTTGTCAACTTCACAAATTCAGTTATTTTGTCTAGAAAGAAAATTAATGAGAAGTTATGCTTGATAAATAATTTAAAGTTACTGCAAAACTGTATTATTGGATAGTTAAACCTATTTAAGATAAAGGTGCAGTCTGGACCAAGGTTCTCTAAACACTTAGGAGATTGCATCTCATTGAAATTCCGAGGTATCATCACCCATCAAAGTAAAAAAAAAAATAAAAAATTGTTTTCTAATAACTGTTTGAGAAATGTGTGCTTATATTTTTATAACAGCACTTAGCTATGCATTTATAGCATACACCTATAACATATCCATTTCTTGACATTTATGAAAAACGCAGGGTTTAAGTTACCTCATGTATTTTATCGATATGTTTTCCTTCCAAAGTAGACATTGTGTTGAATTTTACTTCCTTCTATGATACTATAGTATATGTATTAATAGAATTCTTTCCTTTGGGTTTGTTCAACCCAGAAATATGAATGTCTTGAAAATCATGTTGTATTTTTCTAATGTTATGTCTATACAGTCATTCAAATTCTTTAGTTGCACATCTGTTCTGTAACATGATTATTTTGAAGGTACGCTTCAATGAAACACATTAACAGGCACTGAAAAATGGAGCATAAATTGACTAGCTGTTCACGTGATGGTCGTTTGAACATAACTTTATTTGAACTATACCTTTACATTTCTTGTTGTTTAAGTTGGTACCATAGTGTAAAATTCAGGCCCTCCCCCCGTTTTTTCCACTGTAAAGCTTATCAATTTGCTGGGTATTTTCATTTGTTCCTTCTTTTCTCAGCTCTTGAGGCCAGGAGGCAATTGTCACACTTAATCACTCAAGGACGTATCTGGTGTTTAGCTAGAATAAGGCTAAGGAATCGAGAACATTTTTGACTCCATCTATATCATGTAGTGCATCCCACCATCTGAGCATGTATAATTCTCCTCTACTTCATTGCAACTCTTGTGAGGGGTTGACCCTGGCTCATCTCAGGTGCCCACCAAAGTCGCTCTATCACTCCCCTCCTCAACTGGACAGGGGAGGGAATATATAATGAAAGGTTTGTGGGTCGAGATAAGGACAAGGAGATCGCTCAGCAATTACCATCACAGGCAAAACAGGCTCGCCTTGGGGAAATTAATTTAATTTCTTACCAGTCAAATCAGAGTAGGATAATGAGAAATAAAAACTAAATCTTAAAACACCTTCCCCCCACCCCTCCCTTCTTCCCAGGCTCAACTTCACTCCTGATTTTCTCTACCTCCTCCTCACCAGCGGGGCAGGGGGATGGGGAATGAGGATTGCGGTCAGTTCATCACATGTTGTTTCTGCCGCTCCTTCCTCCTCAGGGGCAGGACTCCTCACACTCTTCCCCTGCTCCAGCATGGGGTCCCTCCCACGGGAGACAGTTCTCCATGAACTTCTTCAACATGAGTCCTTCCCACGGGCTGCAGTTCTTCATGAACTGCTCCAGCTTGGGTCCCCCATGGGGCCACAAGTCCTGCCAGCAAACCTGCTCCAGCGTGGGCTCCTCTCTCCACGAGTCCACAGGTCCTGCCAGGAGCCTGCTCCAGCGTGGGCTTCCCATGGGGTCAGGGGAATTCCCCCTGCCTTCTTCAGGCATCCACCTGCTCTGGCATGGAGTCCTCCACGGGCTGCAGGTGGATATCTGCTCCACCGTTAACCTCCATGGTCTGCAGGGGAATCTCTGCTCCAGCACCTGGAGCACCTCCTCCCCCTCCTTCTTCACTGACCTTGGTGTCTGCAGGGCTGTTTCTCTCACATCCCCCGCTTGTGTTCCTTTTTTGCCCCTTCCCCCCCCCCCCCCCTTCTTAAACATGTTATCACAGAGGCACTACCACCATTGCTGATGGGTTCGGCCTTGGCCAGCAGCGGATCCGTCTTGGCTGGCATTGATTGGCTCCATCGGACATAGGGGAAGCTTCTAGAAGCTTCTCACAGAAGCCACTCTTGTAGCCCCCCTGCTATCAAAAACCTTGCCACACAAACTCAATACAGAATCCACATATGGAAATGCTCAGATAGTTGGGACCTACAATTGATTCTCTTCTAACATCCGTAGATTCAGCACAGTGCAGATCACTTCAGTGTTTTTTTTGTTTGTGTCTTTCTTTCTCCAACTGTAAAATAAGGACTGTAATGTTTACTAGCTTTGGAAAAGAATCTTGAGATTCTCAAAAGTAATTTGAGATTAAATACTTACCAAATACAAATTACTGTTATGTTAGTAAAAGCAAAGCAAAATTTTTTTTTTTTTTTTACTGACGCTTTAATTACAGATCACCATATTAGGGAGAGGAAAATAAAATAAAGAAGAAATTGAACTAGTGACTTTGTTTTGCAGGTTCTTTCATGTTGGTGAATACATCTGGGAGATTTGCAGGACAGAAAGCTCACCTCCTGCTGCCCCATCTGAAAGAAAATGATACACATTGTATTGATTTCCACTATTATGTTTCAAGCAAGAGTGGATCTAGCCCTGGCACTTTGAATATATATGTGAAAGTTAATGATGGTCCTATTGGTAACCCGATCTGGAACACATCTATTACCGCTACTTGGAACAGAGCAGAACTGGCAATTAGCACTTTCTGGCCCAATTTTTATCAGGTATGTTTTACTTTTTATGAAATTTTGTTTCTCGTAATAGTCACCTGGTTCTTAATCATAATTCTGAATTTAAATCAAAATATCTTTCAGTATGTTTTGTTGATCTTTATCTTAATTATCATTTTGCAGATGATGCTAAATGTTTGTTTTTACATATATGTGGCTGTGTTTATATGTTTACATATATTTATAGAAGTGTATGAAATGTATGTGCACACACACATGCTCTAAATGTGGGTGAAATAATTGTATTGAAACAATTTAGAAATTTTGCCATTGATTTCTGTCAATTACCTGTGTTTCTCTATAATAAATTCACTCATTCTGTCAGTTCATTAGGGATGCTGGAATTGAATGCCAATAGATTTTATTGCAGTAGAGTCTTCAAGTTTGATTTAGATCAGCAATACTTGTTGCTTTAGAACCAGCAGAATCCTTTGAATCCTCAGTTTGAGTCTTCAGTTTGAATGCAATCTCCATTTCTTCTGTCCAATAGTAGTCATAAATATAACAGTAGCTATTGTAGGAATGGGCTTCTGATTACATCCTAAAGATTTAGGGAGAATTTCGCTTGACAGTTCCTTAGGGTGCTGCTTTTCTGTAGGGAAGTTTATAGTTTATGCAGTTATTTACTGTTGTACAGTAGTTCAATAGTTTTTCTCCTTCTTCCCATGAAAATATAGTCTATGTCTCCACAAGCAAGTAATTTGGTGTAATAAGAGCAGACCAGTAGATCAAAGATGTTATTGAGGCTCCTCTCATCTTCACTTGCAGTTTGGAAAGTTTGGTTTGGATTTTATTTGGTCCCCTGTGCTGAACATTGTCACTATACTTACGGTTTGAAGCTTTCTGAAGAAAAGCTGTCCCAAAGACAGGGGTTCTTTGACCTCCTTAGGAAGTACAATGTTATCATTCCAGTGTCGTTCCAGGGGGTGACAGCATCTTAATTCCTACATCAGTGCCCCGACTACCAGTGTCACACGTGGCAGAGCCTCGTTTCTGTTCCTGCATGTGCTGTTTAGGGTGACCCAGTGTTTGGTGCCCCATCGTATTCTCATTATGAGTTTGGCAATATCCACTGCAAGGTACTCTAGGGGGTTATAGTGGACTTCTTTCCGTGGCTGCAGCAGCTGATCTGTGAGGATGTCTCAAGTGAACTGAAGCTGTTCCTTTTGAACCCTTTTTCCTCTAAGGAAAAAAACAAGCTGAAGAACTTTCTGGAGTCTTTCCCTCTGTGATTGCTTCACCCACAATTGACAGAAAGTCCTGGTCCAAAAGGTGAGTTTAGAGTGCCAGGACCATCTTGTCCTTGGAACATGGGATACTTGGCAGTGGGTGCAATACTTGCAGACCCAAAAGAGCACACATTCATTTCCTCTTGCCTCCAATAGTGTGTTCCTAGGTTGTGTAGGGGGTATTGACAGGGTCCACATTTGCATCCAGTGCTCTGCCCAAGGTGGCTCGGAGTTGCTACAGCTGCATCATCGGGGCTTCCTGGAGAGGATTCAGGGTAAGTTTATGGACATCTCAGCAAACTCCACTGGGAGGACTCATGATGTGGATCTCCTATAATTGGCCGTGGACTCGACGAGGGAATACTGGCACCTTTTTCAGAAGGGCAGCCATATTAGCAGAGTTGAGGTTCACCTCAGCATTGTGGGAGAAGCTGTGTACTACCTGCCCCTGTGGAGCATGAGGCTGTATCCTGATCACAGAGTCCAAGCTTGGTTTAGCCATACCTTTACATCTCATGGGGTGAAAGGGCAACATGTATTTTGTTGCCTGTCAGAGTTCAAGGAGTGTTTGGACAACGCTCTTAGTCATGTGGTTTATTTTTAGGTAGTCCTGTCAGGAGCAAAGAGTTGGACTCGATGATCCTTATGGGTCCCTCGCAACTTGAGATATTCCATGATTCTATGACCTTACTGCAAGACTGAGGACGCCATGTTACCGATTTGATGCCAATGTTGAGAATGTCCTCCAGTGATGACAAAAAGTCTTTCTATCTTGACTGAAATAATGAGGACCAGTCTGGGTTGCTAGCCTTGGTTGATGGTGGGAGAAAAGTAGAGCATCCCACAGGCAATTTCGTGGCTGACATCGGATATAACTCTGGGCGGTTTGTGACATGGGATCTACTGGAGGGTTTTGTGAGCATGCTGGGTGGTTCAGGAGCGCTATGTGGTGCATGCACATTTTGCAGACACTGGGTGAATGTGACTGTGTCACTCATGCCTAACTCTGGACCTTAATGTCCCCGTCTGTGTTTGGAATGAATTAGTAGAGGAGCTTCTGATTTCCTTTATTCTGAAAGGAGTCTGGTTTTTATGCAACAGAACTGCTCTGTGAACCAGCAGTCAGTAAAGAGGAGGGTTGTGCTTCAAAGCCTCACTCTAGCTCTGAACCAAAATGCTAATGTGGACAGGGGAATTTTAATAGAAGCAGCTCTGACGCTGACTAGTAAATTTAAGCTAAATTAACATGTTAATAAAAATACAGGCAAGCTCTGACAGTTTTAAATGTTATTGATATTAGCAATAATCTGTGTCAGATTTCTGTCAATATGATACATTAACTGATGTCTGAGTAACATGGATATTTGGCCATAGAAATAGAAAGATAACCTTTCTAGTCCACTTTCTCCTCGAGACCTGCCATCTGGACTGTTCACTCTTATTCGTAGGTGAACCCTTATATGCTTGGATAGGATACTGCAGTTTAGTAAATTACCATGCATCAGCTGATAATATAATATACACCTGACTCTGTCTGTAATGGATTCCATGTGCTCTCTTTGCCTCTGGAAATACAGAAATTTTTACATAATCTTTCTTTCACTGAGGAGTATAGTAAGTCATTTTCTTTGCATTTGCTGCATACAGTCTGAAATAATACCTGGTTAGGTATTGCAATTTAGCTGATGTGCCAAAATGTCTTATGCTATAGTAATATCTGTGGGAGTCCAAGGAATCAGTGTAAAATAGTGTAGTTTCACTGTAGATAAGCTAATTTATTCTTGAGGAAGCTCTGTCTCCATTTTAACAGCTTATGGTCAGTCATCTCCATTTTGGTTGCCTCCATCTTCTCAGAAATGTGATGCAATTTCCTCACCCAGCTGGTGACACTTGCAATTTCTCATTGTTTCTGAACTCTTTTCATCTGTTTTCATGCTTTTTCTACGCAGAGTCTGTTTTGGGGGGAGGCAGGAAGTTAGCTGCAAGCAGGTGGGAGAAGGGCAGGAGGAGGAGAAGAGGGTGTATGTGGACCTTGTGAGAATGTTCGTCCAAGTTAGGTGAGAGCTTAGATGACTGCATGTATGGTGGGAGAAGGCAGAGGACCCATCTGACACGTGTCTAGCCCCAGGTCTGTTTCCTAAGCTGCTGTTCATTTGATTCCAAAACTCCAACCTCTTTTGGCACAAATCCATGTGTTTTCTCACATAACCTCCAAAACGTACAAGACTTCCTCCCGGGGATTTTCTGAGGCTGTTAGACCTTATTGAACAAAATTAAGAAAAGTCCGCTAAGAAAGTTTTTAAGGAATGATAGGGCCCTTTTTAACTTTTCATATATGAAGGTTGGTAGTTTCCTGATGAGTAATCTTCAGGAAAAGACTCAGTATTAGTAGATGAAGGGTCAAAGCAATGTAATTGTGTGATTTTCTTTGTTGTGTTTTAAATCACATATTCATGTAGGCATCTGCATGTTTGCGAATGCCTTCTAGTTCCATTCCATTAGCAGGACACCTACAAGGTGTCTAGCTGCAAACGAAACCAAAATATACTACAGAACTCCGAAGACAAATTATACGATAACATTTCAGAGTTAAATATTTATATAATTCAGGATGCTTAAAAACACAGTGGTGTTGGTCTGTTTTGCTGTTGATTCATGAAAAAATAGGCAAAATAACTTCCACTAATGGTAGATGACTAGAAATTAGATTGTGTAGTGCGGAGTGAATTTTAATCCAACTTCTAAAGATCTGTTTGTTTAAACCATGTATTATTAACACGTATATGCAAAGCATTCAAAAGATTTAATAATTAACAGTATTTTATTATTGTAGCACCAGTTATCTCAGCTTGTTAATACCTTTCATGTTGGGTTTCCATCTAGAATTGACTCTTTAACAGTCTCTGAACAAAGTAATTAATTTCTTTTAGTGTACACTTTTCTTTTACTAGGTAATTATTGTGTAGGCTTCACCCCATATGAAAGCTGTATTATGTATATAAAGCACAATGACAACCTGCATGTAACAACACTAATTGTAGTTTAATTACTGCTTATTAAAACTTAAATTGTCAAGTATTCTGGTGATTAAGGATATATTTAATTCCGTAATTAATGGTCTTCTAAGTGCCACTGCTTAACATCTGCCTTTGACTTCAGGGTATGTCTACTTTGCAGTCCAGTTGCTGATTACAGTATAGCTGCAGTAAGATAGGTTCAAACTGCCAAACTCCTTCTGAGGGTCAAAGATAATCAGCACAGCTTGTTCTTTTCTGCTGTGCCTCCTGGTCTCCGAGCTATTTGTTTCGAAGTAGCTGGGATATTTCTACAGGAGCTAGTCTTGTTTCTGTATTATAAAATCCCTTTGGGAGTGCTCCCCTGAGGGAGCACTGGCTTCCTCTCTTTATCATTGGTCACAGGAGAAATTGTTTGCTTTACTGAGCTATTGTCTCCTTGGTGCATCTTAAGCAGGAGCATCAAGGAGTTTGTCGTGCCATTAGAGACAGCCTGAAAACAAAACAAGGCTTCACGTAATTACTAAGACCTTAATTCTCCTTCTTACTTGAATAGGATTAGGATGTACACAGAAAAAGAGGGTTAAATGCTATGTAGATTCCTATGGGTAGTGGTGAGCTTGGTTTTAGATTCTTGGGGAGCAGTCTCAGTAGGTTGAGAGGCTCTAAAATTGATGCTTTGAGATAAAACTAAGTCCTGAAAAGGCTGCTCCTCTAGTGAGGAGAGGGTAGGAGGGTTTTTTGGGGTTTG